TCGTTGATTCAGCCAACGAAAACATGAATGATTCGTCCAAGTCTTCATATACACGACCATCCTATAAAATGCGATGCACAATGCGAAAAAAAGGAAAAACAAGAAAGTGAAGAAACCTTTGGAGGAAGATGTCCTGTTCTTAATCGTTGAATGCCCATATCCATAACAGCTAGAGATACTGTCAGAGAATGTTGTCGAGGACTGAGTTCAACACGAGAAGTCACACCCGTTAGGTCCATTGCCAGAACACGACGCTGCTCAGCTTGGTTGAGCTTCTGGAAGGAAATAATATAATAAAATTTTTGAATGTAGATGTAAGGAAAACCTCATGACCAGACAGACATAGGACTATAGTAGGACTTACTATAGTATCAATGAAGCGCAAAGTCATGTGCTCAAGGCGCATCGCTATTTCAGCTAGAAGCATATCGCGCCTCAACAACGTGGAATCATCCCAAGACTCGTGCAAGACATCCAAAATCTCTTCTTCCATTTCCTGAAGAAAATATTCAGAAATGCTTCTACATGTGGGGTAATGGTGTGGGTGGGACAAGAATTGAAATCAGAATAATTTGTAAGTATCGAAAAACTGATTCAAACAACCTTCACGTTGAATGATTTTGGCAAATCTCCGAAGTCTTTCAAGTCCAACTTCCGAAAATCAAATGCTTCCTCCTTTTCTATTTCTGAAAACTCAAATTTAGTTTATCATGGCTGGACTACATCTTCACAACGTAAAGAAGTAAACTGACTACTTTCTTCCTGCATGAAAAAACTCGTTATCCATCCATACAGACCACCACTTTCTTTTTGTACGCTGCGCATTACTTCCACTGAGGGAATCTCTTCTACCGGAGTGTCTATGTTCTCAAAGACGTCGTCATTGGTTGAAGAAAGATCTGTGCCTTTTTCTTTGGCCTTCTCCCGCATAAGTTTGCGGAAAACGGTCTCCCGAAAAAGATGTAGCTCCTAAATTCCATGTATACCACTAAGGCCCCATACTTCGCTCAAAAGCGCCCAAAAGCCCTGGGACTTCGCTCAAAAACGCTCAAAAGCTCAAAAGCGCCCAAAAGCGCCGGAACGCCCCTCCACGGAGGCATTATCAAACTTGGCGTAAATCATATATGTGCGTGTTTGTGCTCTCTTTTTTGTGCTTCTTCCTGTTTTTTTGTCTCTTTCTATCTGGCATATGTATTAGTTTGCATTATAAATTTCTGAAGTGTATTACGCTATTCAGCATTCTAGTGAGGAAGTAGTAAGGTTACTGTCGGTTGCAGCGTACAAGTGCGCATTTACACACTGCGCACACACATTTGATTTGTGCT